CAGTTTTATAGTCTATAACATTATTAATGAGTTGTTTATATAAACTGTGACTAACCTTGAGTTGAACTGAAATGTTTACAAGTGTTTAGCAAATAATGATCAATGATCATATTCGAGTGTTGATCGAATTCTGTTGATCAGTTAATTTTTGTTAAGGATATAAGTTTCTCCTTTTAATAACAATAATATTCTGTTCATTTTTCTTTTTTTATTTCATCAGCTGACAAGTACAAATCAGACGAAAGAAACACAAAACAGTTCATTAACTTCTGATACACAATCTTTTCATTCCATAGGAACAATCACATGTAAGCAATCACGCACCAGTGGTAGAAGTAATTCATCTCATTCAGTTAATGATAATAATGATAAGTTACAAAAATTGAATGAAAGAAATTCATCGAATTGGGAACCAACATCAGAATGGGTTCATAGTTGGAAATTAAAAATGCCTTTTCAAACAATTATGCGCTTATTGCAGGTATTAGTGCCTCAAGTTGAAAAAATCTGTATTGATAAGTAAGTTCTGATACTATTATTACTTCCCATTTTCTGTGATCTTGTCATTGAATTAAAGTTGTTTGAATATCTAGCTGTAAAATATGGTCAGTTATAAGTAGTGTAGAACTTAGCGCATATGTGGATCGGTTCATGTTTCCTTTACATGTAACTCAAGAAGATTTGGCAATGCCATGCTCGTCATAGCCATTCAGTTTCTTCGTTTTTATTAACTCTGACATAGAAATTCTTTAAGAGGTAACACCCTCTTCGTTTGACTTTTCAAGAGATTGACTCGTTGACTTAGAATACTTAGATGGTATACTTCTGTTTAGCTGAGACGCTGGCAAAATGCAGATTCTTTTGACCTTTAAGCAGCAATGCAAATATGTTGGAATGTGATTCTCCTTCCAAATGAAAAACGTCACTTCAGTACTGACGAGCACCAGTGTCTGAATTGATAACAGAGTGAAGTAGTTGGGTGCGTCGATTATATCACTTATTTTAAGTGTTTCATCAGTCCTGATGAGCTGATGATTGACGAGATCTCGGTACTTATTCAGAAAGTTCCGTTGGCGTTTGCCAACGTGGGTCACTTGTAGCGCGGATGAGATATCCGTTTTTCAACCAAAGGATTAGTTTACTGCCCAACACCTCACTCCGTTCTATTTTATGACTGAAACGTAACCTTTGAGAATACAGGATATTCGTGGATTACTACTATCCGATCTTAGGTGTCTTCGAAGCATTTCTCGTGTATTTTTGGACCATTAAGTACGCAATCCTAATGTTACACAAAGGGTGTTACCCAAATATGGCTAATGGGTTAATGAAACAGTAAAGCTTCAACTAAGGTGGTTAGAACATGAATTACTTTGATTTGAACAGACAATTAGTATAACTATCATCATTGTTAGGCTTAAAGTCATGTACGTGAACTTGAACGTTGTAAATCAATTATATTATACTATTAAATATTTCAAAGATGTTTATATTTTTGATAAGTGATGCTTGATGAAAAAACAAGACACAAGAGCATGAAGTGTTGAATAAATGGGTAAAGCTGATTACAAAACTTGGAAAAAAAGATCTTATAAGCCACATCGAATCACCACCATATTATATACATTCGAGGTCTATCGCTTTCTTGTCGATTCTGACGGTCTGTTTACTCATTTATTTGTTGGGTACTAAGAGGCGTAAAGTATCCCATATCTGGCGCCACTCAAAATCATTCCTATATAGTGAAGGTTCACTGAAAGTTCAGTACTTTCCTTCACTTCCATTTCATCCTATTCTGGCCATATCATAGTGAGCAAAGTAGAATGCAGAGTGATTTAAAAAATATAGAAATCAGGTGGATGATTTTGGTGTTGTTTGATTCTCTAAACATGATGGTTTATTGGCAGAATTTTCATTGTTATTCTGGACAACATCAGCACCTCATGCAAGTAAGAGCTGATGATGCTGTCCGGAACAACAACAATAGCTTCATCATTAAATCTCTGAAAACTCAACAATATCTAGAGAATGGAGAGTTGTATGTATGGGGATGATTAATTATGATGACCAACAAGTTTAGTTTTTCACTTATCTCTCAATGCACAAAACATATTACACTTTGTTCCACTGTAATGATTAATTAATGTATAATGAAATTTTGTTTCGTTTTTTTTTAGAGGATTAACAGATGAAACGGAGATTGTTCGTTTCCTTCAAAATGGTACTCTGGTTGGTTTGTTACCTGTACCACATCCAATTCTTATCCGTAAGTATCAATCAAATACTGGTACAACCATATGGTTTCGTAACTATTTATGGGGTATAATATATTTAAGGTAAGTTTGCGCATTGTGTATATACTATCTAACATTTTAACGATAATAATCTCCGTAATCATGAAGTATATTTTCACTGTTTAGTTAATTACGCTTACCTTGACGCGGTATGTTTTCCATTGTGGGGAAGTAGGCTGGGAAAAGGCATTTAGAGGCTCCTAAATCAAGATATGGCATTATCCCATGAAATCATTGACTGTTGGAATGAGCTATGTAAGTAGATTTCGATCGCCTGGTAAGGGATCCGCTCGGTAACTGCGGTCACTGGTTGGAGATGTGTAAAATGGCTCATGGTCGGTCCACATAGCGTAGATTCAGTCACTTTTTTAGATGGTTGGGAAGATCTGTAGATCAAGTGGATGGTTTTAGTGGAGTCTTGTTGTCTGATTTGGGAAAAAAAAGTCCCGTCAAAATCATCCACTTGAACTACAAATTTATTTCACTATTGAGTATATTGCAATAACAATAGCGTAGATGTATAAATTATCGTAAAGTAAACTGTTTATGTTTATAGTAATAGTGAGACTGTAATTTATGGTCTTTTAGGGGTACCAAATTGATCTTAAGAAAATTCACCTACTTTCTAAAGTCAAGAAGAGGTTATAAATTGGCATGAGGAAATAGAATTAAGACTAATACTTAAAAGTTAAGGTTTTCACCACGAAACGACATCAGCTATGATGCTCAGATGCTATTGAACTACATTAAATGAATGAATCTCGCACCAAAATCCAATACTTGCTATCTTGGCTTTCATTCGTTTGTCTGTAGAAATTAATTTCCTCTATATCTGACTCCAATAAATAGTATCTCGTTAACTGAGTATTTAATGCAGGCTAAATCTTCTGGTAGAATTATGGATTTACTCGAGATTATTCAAAAACCCAAACACCAGTTATAGAGATAATTTATTGTTAAAGCTTGGTAAAATCGGCAAGCATGCAGAAAGCAAGCACACAGGGAAACGAGTGAATGTATATGTGAGTATTAGAAGTCCATATATATTTTTGAGTGTTAATTGTTTGTGGATAAATTATTGATTGTCTCTGTGTTACAACCAATGGGACATGCGCTTAATCAGACTCGCACATAAATTTACATAGTATATTAAATGTCTAGATTACAGTGAGTAGACAAATAATACAATAGTTGAATGAGCTTACTACACGTCCATAAATTATTATAGTCTTATCGATAGAGATTGATAGATTCGTAGATATTTAGGTAGTTTCATAAAAAGTTGTACCAGAAAATGATCTCCAACTTAAGGTACACTGATTTTATTCATAATTAATCGATCCAAGTAGTTCATATCACATTTGTAAATGTTATTCTAAAATGTATTATAATACATGCAGTATTTATTTACATATTTTAACATGATTGTTATATTCTTATTTGATGAATAGAATCTATTTTTCAAAATTCTTTCAACATTTACCAGTTAAGATTTATTGTTTTATTTATTTATTTAAACACATAAATATTAGTACAAGGAGGCACCAAATATTTATACTCCACATTTCACCATTCGGTTTGTGTGAGGACTTAAATTACTACCCTGGCGCCCAAACCGAAGCAGGTGGTTTTCTTAGGGAGCCACTCCCTAAGCCTTTGACCTGAACGTTTAATCCACAAAGAATTGAGTGGGGGAACTTTAGAAGATGTAGTCCCATGGTGGTCGGTGACCAACAATAGGTTCATCTGTCATTTGTCTTCTGAGGATCCTGGAACCCGTGTGCACCATTGGTTTAGAATAAGGGCTTCCCAATGTTATATACGTATGACTTCAATCATTTCGTGATATTGCGTGGCTATCTTTTATTATCCGTATTGGATAATCATCTCATACTTAATCTCATATGATGAGACCCGTAGTAAGACGGGACAAATGTCCTTCGGTGCTTCTTGACATTCAATTGTTGTTTAAGTAAGATCTATTCGTAGTGTAGACAGTTTATCATGTTTTTGTGTGCGGGCTGAGATACTGCCCGGGTGCCCAAACCGAAACAGGCGGTTTTCTTAGGGGGCCACACCCCGAGCCTTTGACCTAAAGGTCTAACCCACAAAGCAGTGGAGCACCGTGAGGAGATGTAGTCACGTGGTAGCCGGTGACCAACGATTGGTTCATACGCCATTTGTTCCTTCAGGATACTGGAGCCCATGTGCACCATTGGTTTGGGATCCTGGTAAACCGCCGGACATTCGCTTTTCGTCCTCTCAATTTCGTAAACAACACCTCCGCAACGAGAAGGTAGAGAGTAGGACTTCCCTGGCAGAGGCTGTATACGCGTGGCCGTGTGAGAGTATTTCGAGGGTGAGGGCGAACCCACCCCGCTTCGGCCATACCAGGGCATTTGGGGGCTCATATTGTGTGGCGCATATATATTTGGTGTCCTCTTGTACCATTACTTATGTGTTCAAATAAAATAAAATACAATATTCGTAGTGTAAGTTATGAGACCTGAACACTTCATAAACTCCTATACTTATATATTTATTTCTTTATATTCATAGGAATGTCACTCCACCTATCTGGTATGAAACCAATGTTCGTTTATTCGAAATCCAACGCCTTTAATATTGTGTTTCATACTATATTTAACCAACTACCAAACTGAAAATAAATATTCATTAAAAAACTTACTTTTTCTAATAGTCTATGTTTACTTGTTTGTTTGTTTGTTTTCCATTTTATTTCATTATTACGTTTATGTATACATCATATGCTTGAATAAATAGATATTTTCAGTGTTAAAAACAATACAGTTATAGACATTGTTTGTTTACTTACTCTCAAGTGTTGGTTTTGTGTGCTCTTCTTTTTATGCTTACTGTTAAGTGATCTATGTAATTAAGTCGTGCTAATTTTCGTTCGTTTTTTCTTCTTCTTTGAATTGCAGAAATATTCTTTTCAATTCAGTTTGTATCGATTAATACTACTGATATTATTACATTACTAATAATATATACACATAGTTCATATCTGTATACTTTTAAAATGTCAATTTATTATCACTATTTTATTCCATTCTTTCACACTCCGGTTCGAAACCTTTCAGCATTTTGTGTGTTTATGTATTGAACTATCAGTTACTCATTGTAATTTTTAGTTCAGTTTTTTTTTTCTTTTGTACTTGTGGGTTTGTTTTTTTTTGTTTTCTTTCTTCCATATTGTGTGATATATTTAACATTGTTTATATACCTACATAAAAGAAACACTGTGATATTGTCTATGTGAATACACATGTACCTCAATAATATCCATATGTAATATTTATAGTTTATGAATTGTTCTGTAGACTTCTAAAATAAGTCTTCTGTTCTAAGTGGATTCTCTCTCTCAAAACAATACATTTGATTGTTATTAGTAGTGTACATGTGCTGTGTGTGTGTGTGTGTGTTTAATCCATTCAGTCGTAGAGACTTAAGCGTAAAAGAAAATTGGTAATAAAATAAAGGCGTCCGACTTGTATTCAGTATTTAATTCCTTATCTATTGTTTTATGTCATAGTCAAAAGTGTTGATTCGAAGTATTTTTTGAACTGTATAGGTGAGAATGCATAATTGTTATATGAAATATTACTTTCAATTTATTTTACTTTAATGTTAACTTCATATTCAGTTGAATACTTTAAATAGTTGTTTTCAAATAATAGTTTTGTGATGTAATTCAGAACTTTTTTTTAAAATTGTTGTTAAATAGTCAATCATATACTTGTACAGTAACGTAAGGATTCGCAACTCACGTTTTTATAATGATGAACGAGACGGCGAGACTATAATTTATGGACGAACCAATTAGATACAAGGTAACAAGTCACGAATTTGGGCGCGGAATTCATCCATACATTTGGCTAAATAGAGTTTTGGCATTATAGCTGATGTTAATTCGTGATGAAAACCCTAAATCTAATTTTTAACCCTAACCATCAACTGTAAATGAGAATTCTAACTGCTTTATAACCCTCATTTAGTCCTAATTAGTAGTTGTTCACTCTCAACGTCACTTCAGCGTCGCTCAAAGGCCGTCCATAAATTATAGTCTCACCAACGAGACTGTCTATGTTTTCTTATCTTCCCGTAAACTAGTGATAGAAATCTATGCTTCTTTTTTGAAGCTTTATTAAAAGGGACTTATGAAGATTAATTTACATCCAAATTAATATAATTACATGCTGATTGAATTCAATGATTATCATTTATAGAATTCATCAAACTGAGAAATAGTCACTTGAAAATAAAATTATAGTGAATGATCAACGCTGATTGTTAACTGAACAAAAATCATCTTAGATCAATATGCAAATTTTAAGGTTTATTTTCTTCCTCATACATTGTGTATTTGGGGGTTTCACATTCTTAACATGATATAATCTGGTTTGAAAATTTGTTAGGAAGCGTTTGTGGTTACTTTTATGGTTTTAAGGGTTATATGCAGTGTACTTATAATTATCTTATAGATTAAGAGCGGTTTAACGGAATTTGGCGTGTCCTAAATCTTATACAAATCAGATAAGTAAAAGCACTTCAGTTAGCAATTTACATATCACTGTCTTTACATTCTGTATTATTGATATATATGAGTGATCTATATAACTGCTATGTAAGTGAAAAATTCTGAGCGGTGACTAAGGAACGTTAATTGGTAAACATAATGAACAACATACAGATTATTGGTTTGTCGTTCAAACTTACACAAGGATATACAGGCTAGGACCTTAACTAAGTGTATAATTGACTTCATCCAATTACGCTACTTATCACCTTTAATCCTCTGTTTGGTTTTGGGATGGTATGTGAGGACAGTCACGTTATTTTTCTAAGTTCGCTCAACCTATCATTACACTAAAATAATTAGTCATTGCATCCAAAAGCTAGTCTTCAAGAGTACTCTTCTGCAACTGTGTGTGACTAACTAACTTGGTATATTGCTGCTGAAGAGAAAAACAGACTCGGTGCATTATTACTTCTGAATTCAATCACTTAAAAGCTAGCTCCGTTTCTACTTGTCCATTCCGAAAACAGTTGATTATCTATTCCTGATTGTTAATATCGTTCGTGGGAAATGATTACAACTGAACAGTTACCATCATCTTGTTTAGTCTTTAATTCTAAAAACTCAATTCAATCTGTCGTGGTTTGGATTATCTCATTTTTACTATTCTTGACTGAATTTTATCTAGCCTTGGTTGGCATGTGTGCATCCTGTGAGTATCTCATCGACATAGTTCTTACGTCACAAGATTTTATAAAACATGTAGGATGTGGCTAACACTGAAATCCAGTACTCTTGTTCTGTCTTATTCGTGACTCGCGAGCTAGATGTGTCTGCGTCCCAGTCTTGATGTTTACACCAAACTAAGTAGACCACGCCATGGGCGTTTAAAGAAAAAGATGTTGGGTCCGAGTTCCCTTTTGGGCATCACCACAGACACATTCAGTTTACGAGTCCCGAATAGGTGGATGTGTGTATCCTGAATTGCCTCTGTAAGTTCTGTGTTTTCTGAGAAACGGGTTGATAAAACCAGTGGTTTTTTGAAAATAATATTCTTTATTTTATTATCATATAGCGACTCACGTGCAATTGAGTTTAGTTCAGTCAAGGTCTTTTGTTGACCTATTTAATGGACAAAGTCATCCATGATATAACAACTTGTTGTACTATCTTTATTATTATGCTTGTATGAAATACATATGCTTGAACATTGTTTAGCGCCTACGCATGTATTCATTCGGCTAGCTTCATTATTAACTGCTTATTCTATTCGCTGACTCATCCATTTTCCTATACATATATATATGTGTACATTTGCACCCATTCACTACTACTACAACTACTACTACTACTACTTGCTACTGCTACAATCGTAGTTCGCTTGCTCATTCATTTTGCCTCTCTGCTGTCTGGTCCGAATTATCTACTAAATAAACTGTAGTAGCTGCTTCTTTTTGCCTTCTGATTTCAAACATCGTTGAAGATTATACGATAACGGTTCGAGGGTGATTAATTATCGAAGCACAGCCACTACAGAATTGGTAATCCCGACGTGAGAACGGGAAGCGAATTTTGGCGAAATAATCAAATTCCAAAAATCCGACTACCTTCATCTCAATTTGGATTATCAAATGAACTATAATTACAACTGTGGATTTATATTATTATTCTAATTACACTTACATTATTTCGCAAACATTATTAAACGTGACGATTATAATCATAATAAATAACAATTATCCATAAACAATTGATATATTGGTGCAATTTAGTAAGTCTGTTCCATTTTATAAATTGTGCCATTTTTTTATTATCATTGTTTTTGCCCGTCTATTCTTCCTTGTGACTGTTAAATTATTTTCGTGTGCTACTTAATTTTTATAAGCATGTCTTATGAAAACACAGTTTCAAGCGTACAGCAAGCCTCGTCCGTGAGGTCTCTTAACCTCCCTGCCCCTTCTTTTAAAATCACAGACCCAAAACTTTGGTTTATAAGACTTGAAAATTATTTTCTCGCTAACCGCATTCTTTTGCAAAAGGATAAGTTCGGCCTGACAAGCACACTACTCCCAGACGAAGTAGCTGACAGCGTTCGAGAGGCACTAGCAAAACCAGACACAGAAAAACCATACGACGTGCTAAAAGAGGCAGTAATTAAAACTCTCTCTCTCAGTGACCAACAAGCCGTCGAACAACTCCTTAATCAAGTACAAATTGGAGATAGAACCCCATCACAGCTAAAAAATTATATGAAAAGTCTACTTGGCGATAGACACATTGACAATAATCTCTTTTATCAACTGTGGCTCCGCCGACTCCCGGCAAATATACAGCAGATCCTAGCTGTGGGAGATACGGATGCTGATTTAGACAATATAGCAAAGATAGCCGATAGAATATACGAAAGAAGCAAGCAAACAAGCCCTCTACTACACAACGTGACGGTAGACGATAGACTTGATACTCTACAGAAGGAAATAAATGTTTTATGCCGCAAACTCACAGAATTAACGCAGAGAGAAAAGCCTCGAAGGTCATCGCGAGATCGCTCGCGTGAAAGGACCCGGTCAACTTCTAGACGACGCACAACTCCCGCGATATGTTGGTATCATCAAATGTTCGGCTACAGGGCTAGAAAGTGCCTACAACCTTGTGAATTTAACAGGGCTGGTAACCGATACCCACGAGTATCAATGGCAACGGCATCAACGCATATAATGCCTGAAAATAGTCGCCTCTTTTATATACAAGACCGAACCACTGGCGCACAATTCTTAGTTGACACTGGAGCGGAAATTAGCGTAGTACCTCCATTTAACGAGGAAAGAAAAAACATTAATCCGTCATTAGTGCTAAGAGCAGCAAACAAATCAGATATTAAGACATATGGTAAACGGAAATTGTCCCTAGATTTTGGACGTGGCGCTTCATACCGCTGGAACTTTGTCATAGCAGACGTATCGATGCCCATAATAGGCATAGATTTCTTATGTAACTTTGACCTGCTAGTAGACTCTAGACGACACAGACTTATAAACGGCAGTCAAACCACTTCGATAAGAGGAATACTTACGGAAGCCGTTTCAATGAACCTCGTGATAGATAAAAGTCGTGGTGATCCATATAAATTGTTGTTAAGGGAGTTCCCTGAACTCGTAAAAGTAACATACAATAAAGCGGATCTCAAACATTCTATTCAGCATCACATCGTAACGAATGGTCCACCAATCAATGCAAGACCAAGAAGGTTAGATCCCAAAAGACTAGCCATCGCAAAACAGGAATTCGACAAGCTAATGAGGCTAGGCATTATAAGGCCATCGAGCAGCCCGTGGGCATCCCCGCTACATATGGCCCCGAAAAAGAATGGAGAGGTTAGGCCATGTGGAGATTACAGAGCACTGAACAAACAAACAGTAGCTGACAGATACCCTATACCGCACATTCATGATTTCACCTACAGTATTGAGGGCACTACTATCTTCTCGAAGATCGACTTAGTCAGAGCATACTACCACATTCCTGTTGCCCCTCAAGACATACCGAAGACAGCAGTAACAACCCCATTTGGGCTATATGAATTCCTGCGTATGCCTTTTGGACTGACTAACGCGGCACAAACCTTTCAACGATTTATCGACCAGGTCATTAGAGGTTTACCTGGAGTATACGCGTATATCGACGACTTATTAGTAGCTAGCACCACTAAAGATGAGCATATACAACAACTACGGCAATTATTTATGCGACTCAGAGAACATGGTATTTCTATAAATATTGAGAAGTGTGAATTCGGAAAGGAATCTTTACAGTTCCTAGGTCACAATATAACTTCTCAAGGCATCACACCAATAGCAACAGAAGTCGACGCCATTAGGAATTATCCCCTACCCGACTCATGGAAAAAGTTACGCCGATTTCTCGGGTTAATAAATTATTACAGACGATTTATCCCGAATTGTGCGTCAATATTGCAACCACTAACAGATGCATTACGCGGAAACGCACGGACATTCCAATTATCACCAGACGCAATTCAAGCATTCGAGAACGCTAAAAAAGCACTAAATAAAGAAGTGACACTAACTAGACGAAAGAGCGAAACACCGTTAGCTATCATGACGGATGCATCAGACGTAGCGGTAGGAGCCGTTTTACAACAATTAGTAAATGGCATATGGGAACCGCTCTCATTTTTTTCGAAAAGACTGAATCCGACACAAACAAGATATAGTACTTTCGGAAGAGAACTCCTAGCGATTTACTTGGCAATAAAACATTTCCGACATATGATTGAGGGTACCATTTTCACAGTATATACAGACCATAAACCCCTCACAAAAGCATTGAACGCCAAACAGGACAACTACTCGCCGAGGGAAATCCGACAATTAGAATTTATTTCCCAATTCACGTCCAACATACAGTATATCAAAGGTAACAGTAACGAAGTGGCAGACGCGTTATCCAGAACGATGGTCAACGCTCTCATCCAGTCTGAAATCGATTATCACAAGTTAGCAGCACTACAAAATATCGACGTCGAGTTAAACAGACTAAAGTCTGCCAATACAACCTCGTTAGTTCTCAAAGAAACTCCATTGGAAGAAGTAAGCATCACCTGCGATATTTCTACAGGTCAACCAAGACCATTTATTCCAAAGCCGCTAAGGCGAAACATTTTCGAAGCCATGCATAATATTTCGCATCCCGGAATAAAGGCCACCATCAAACTAATTAGCGAACGTTTCGTATGGCCAAGTATGAATCGGGATATTCGTAATTGGACGCAAGCGTGTATAAAATGCCAGAGAGTTAAGATACATCGCCACACCAGTTCCGCAGTAGGTCATTTCCGTCATCCCGATAACAGATTCGAGCACGTACATATCGATATTATAGGACCACTGCCGGTTTCGAATGGTTTCAGTTACATTTTCACTTGCATTGATAGATTCACACGATGGCCTGTAGCGGTGCCCATAAAAGATATTACAGCCGAAACTATCGCAAAAACCCTAGTAGAGCATTGGATTTCCCATTATGGCGTACCTACTAATATTACAACCGATAGAGGAGCTCAATTCGAGAGCCGCCTCTTCCAACAACTCACAGAACTACTCGGAATCAAACGAATTCGCACAACATCCTACCATCCGATGTCGAATGGTATGGTAGAGAGATTGCATCGGCAACTTAAAGCTTCTCTTACAGCTGTCATCAGCAATAATGATTGGGCCAGCAAGCTACCGTTAGTCATGTTGAGCTTAAGATCAACAATCAAACAAGATATAGAATGCTGCCCAGCAGAATTGGTTTATGGAACCACACTACGTCTGCCAGGAGAGTTTTTCACTGCAGGTAAAAGCGTTTCAACTGATATAGCGGACTATGTACAGCGTCTTAAGCAGCATATGAGTAGTCTAAGGATAACGCTTCCAAGACAACATCAACGCCGTGTCTACATACCCAAACAACTAAGTGACAGTACCCATGTGTTTATAAGAAGGGATAATGTGCAACGTCCCTTACAACCCGCCTACGATGGTCCATTTAAGGTGATTAAAAGAGACGACAAAACTATTACGGTAGACAAAGCTGGAAAAACGGATGTAATTAGCATCGACCGAGTCAAACCAGCTTTCATCGAAGCCTACGACCAGCCAGTACATACAGATACTGCGAAAACCGTTGAATCATCGAAGCGTCAGTTCCAATCATCAACGACATCGACGAACACAAACAAAGAGAATCCAGTAACCACAAAGTCTGGTCGAAGAGTAAGATGGCCCCAACGTTATGTCGCTGCAATCTTCTATTAATAATCTTCTACTATCTTAAATATTAATTATAACTTCCACTTCATTGTATACACATGCATTACTAATTTCATGTTATACGCTATAAAACTCTTATGTACCCCTACACTTACACATATAATTTTTATTTAAAATGTAAAGCAATACCGCATTCCTTCTATTTATTGCTATTATAACCTCACGGACGGGCACAAACCAAATGTACAGCACACACTAACTTCATCTTAATTTTGTACAAACCATTTTGTTTCAAACGATTGTAACTACCCTACTCAGTTTACTATTTTTTTGTGCAAACACAGACATTTTTCCATATATCTTTGTTTGCAGGGGGGAGCTATTATAGCGACTCACGTGCAATTGAGTTTAGTTCAGTCAAGGTCTTTTGTTGACCTATTTAATGGACAAAGTCATCCATGATATAACAACTTGTTGTACTATCTTTATTATTATGCTTGTATGAAATACATATGCTTGAACATTGTTTAGCGCCTACGCATGTATTCATTCTGCTAGCTTCATTATTAACTGCTTAATCTATTCGCTGACTCATCCATTTTCCTATACATATATATATGTGTACATTTGCACCCATCTACTACTACAACTACAACTACAACTACTACTTGCTACTGCTACGATCGTAGTTCGCTTGCTCATTCATTTTGCCTCTCTGCTGTCTGGTCCGAATCATCTACTAAATAAACTGTAGTAGCTGCTTCTTTTTGCCTTCTGATTTCAAACATCGTTGAAGATTATACGATAACGGTTCGAGGGTGATTAATTATCGAAGCACAGCCACTACAATCATATGAAAATTTCATAATAGGATCATAGATATGTAGGTTATTTTCATCCAAAATGTGTAACACGTGTGTAAACCCTTGATTAGGTGAATTACCAACGATAAAGATCAGTTTCTCGTATTGTGGCGTGTGCTACGTATACGGACAGATATAAGAAGTATGTATCAGGAATCGGAAGGTGCATTCCTACTGACGGAAGAGGAAAGTGAGAAGAGAAAGGAAAACAAAAGCAGTCGGAGTAGTAACAGGAATTGAAAAATGATGGGGTTTGTTAGAAAAAATATGACGATGTTCAAATGGTGTATTCAATGTGTTGTTTTCATACTTTACTAATGCAGTGTGTGATGTTGATTAACACAATAGATTGGCTTACCCTATCGAAGTCTGTTCATTACAGTATTATCTCATAAATATCTTGTTCAGATTTAAATTGATAATCTTCCAATTTTTACGCAAGTTCTTTAGTTTTTATTTTCAACGACTATTATTAATGTGAATTATGATAAAATTCATAAAAAGAATTCCTATTGTTAAATCGAATCCCAAATGATGAACAAAATACACTTGGACAGTCACCAATATGGAAATGATATCACTTGCCATAGGAATTATGGTTATTCTTTGTCTTTTGGTAATGACGTCACTTTCTTGGTGCCTTACATGTAGATAACAGGTGACATCAATACAATTCAAAATAGTTTTCATCAAATCTTTAAACAGCGCTTGTGTATTTTATCGTTAAAACATTTTCGGGTTGAAAATTCCATGTATTCTCATTCTTGTTGACTTTCGGTATTTTCTTGTGAATAACAAAATTGAACATGAATCATGTATCAGATGCAAATTCGTGTACTTAGTTTTAAGCCACACTTTATTTTACAGGAGCCAGTGATATTATGCAGCTAATTAACCACATCAAAGTAGGTGAAACAAGAGACTCAAATCTATAACTCAGCAGTCGACAGATAAGCGCTTCAGTCGGTAAACCACCTCTCTTTTAGTGAATTTCTCACTTGTTTCGTTTATATATATTTTTTATTTTAAAAAATTAATAGTTAGATCAGAAACATTTTAAATTTATGTGTGAATTAGTATTTGGACTTGTGTGTGATTCCATGTTGAATAACTCTCAATAACTAGCATAGTCAGTTATTAAAGAGGCATTGGTATGTTAATCGATATTATTCTCTGGTTCTAATCACTGATTAGTCTTTTTTCAAGGTATGTTATACAATAACTAATCATCATAATGCAATACTATGTACTTTTTCATAGTGCATGAACCAAAAGAATCTTACAGTATGTCAGATTTATAGCATCTAATTTCTATATCTTGAAGCACACTGAACAATACCACGTGCCAAGTCACCAGTCAGAATTCTAGTTCATTCTGTTATCTACTCAATAGCTTAGTGTCTTTGACTTGACCAATTACACGCTCGACCAGCACCATTGACCCTAAGACGGCAGCTAGGCCCCTATCGGTCCACTACTAATTAGATCCCATCTATGCTCAATCTTGAGTCCAGAAGTAACAACTAGTTTTTACTATCAGTCAGACGAGGTTTATATACAGACATACCAGACTTCAGATGGTAAATAAGAATGAAACACGAATAAACCAAAAAGTGGTCATGAGTAAGGGAGATTTTGAGTGATAGACTGACAACAAGTAGTAAATCGTGTAACCGTAGTCAACAAATTAACTGAAAGCTCACGATAAATAGAATACATATACATAGTAATCTAGTTACTCGGTGATTATACAGCGAAATTACAATTAATCATAATTCGAAAAACCAATTTAAGCTTTTCTAATATTCGTTCCGTTATAACGCCTGATAAGCTCAGTTTTGTTTTGTTTTTTACAGTGAATGTCAACATTTCACATCATCAATTTGAAAGAACTTGGCATATCTTATGTTTAAAACTTTACACTGTTGACTAATCATCAAAACCGAACTTTATCAAGTCGACTTCTTCCAGCTACTGAATATCAACATATTTATTGTTTAGTTATCACAACTCCTACTCACTTTTTTTTAGAAAGAAAGTCCTCTTTAAATTTTTTCTCTGCTAGTGTTGTTTTCATTCCTAATTAACTCAATATAACAAACATAGAACCTGATCATTTCATTGATGGTCTTTTATTTTACAACAAATCATTTTTCGATTTAATTAAGATAGATCAATAAATCCAAATCTATAATAATAAATTAACCTTTCATATAATTCTTCAATTATTGATGAATGAATAAATATTTAATTAACTAAAATTTAAATAGACGTCTAATTTGATAAATTTATTATTATCAAGAGTTTTGTGGAGATTTTAGAAATTTCACTGATTGAAATCATGAGTCAATCGAAGCTAGACCACCATGGAAAACCTGGAAGCACTGGACGACCGTTTCGTTCTAGTATGGGACTCCTCAGCAGTGCGCATCCACGATCCCGCGAGTCCATGCACCTTAGTCTTGATGTCCGCATCGGCTCTTGAACCCAGCACATTTCGACTTAAAAGATGTGTTTTCCGATGAGATACCAAATCCATATAACCACTAAACCGTTCAAGGTGAATGATGTTTGTACCATTATTAGTGTTTGAATTATCCAATTGTCGACATTCAGGACAAGATGAATCACACCAAGCCAATCAGCACAGGATGCACAATGTCAACAGACCCAACATTTAGTCCTAAATACCAGCAATGGGATAATTCAAACTCCTATCAATAAACTTATTCATAGTTGTTAGGATAAAATAACACTTGGTTATGGATTAATTTGGGGTGACGTTCTTCTAAGATAGGAACCACTGAGTGAGCAACGCTGAGGTTAGGGTACTAAGTAAAGATGATATATAAGTCGAAGAGCTAGTAAAACTGCACCAACTGGAGTGGCTGGATTATGTACCACATATTCCAAATCACTGCCTACCTCAACGGGCGTTTTCTGATGTAGGCTGGAAGAAAGCTAGGGGTGGCCAAACCAAAACATGTCAACAGTCCATTATGTCACTGACAATCGGGCTCAGAAACATTAATACGTGGAGACTAACTATTTCAAGTCCGCATAAATACTGTAACCAAAGGTCATACTTTGGGAAAAGCCTTAGGAATTGTGTTCAATGGCATTGGTGCATTCACTCCTTGTCTTCCTTTTGAAATCAAATCAAAAAATCCCTTCATACATTTTGTTTTTTATACTTCATCTTCCCTACTGCTACTACCAATATTATTACTTTGGTGGAGTTTTGTTCTCTGAGCTGAGAACAAAACTCCACCAAAATCATCCTTCTGAGCTACAAATCTTCTCCACCATCTCAATATTATTACTACTTCTACTACTCTGGGATTTATCTTGAAATAATTTCATCTCACTATACTAAAGTAGTATATCAACTTAAATCGATGTATATGTGTTACATTTTATGTGGTAGTTCTGGGTTATAATTATTAAATCTGGTTTTGATATCTAATAAATATTTTACAGCGATCATCTTTATTTTCTTTCTTGTAACAAGTCGAATTAATTTTATTCCTGTCATAAAAAGATATTGAAATTCTTTGGAACTCCATTGATACCATAAGTTTAAAATGAATAAATTTATATCAATAATTTAGGCAAAAACAAAACGAGTATTTTATTTTTCAATAATAATATACATAATACAAACAGGAAGGTGAACAGACCATAAATATTCAGTTATTAACATTTCAATTTAATTATTTGACTTTGAAAATTTTGTATACTGACTTCACATTTACCTTTCTCATCATAATCACACCAAATCTGGAAACAAAAAAAAACGAATTAATGAATGAATGCAAGTACAACAACAGTAATAAATGACAAGAATGTAATTACTTATTTAATTTCAAAATTCCCATAGAGTATTTATAAAGACAAGGAGTATCAGAGTGAACAATAGTCTTCAATAACTTTATCATCAGGCTTTACACAGTTATCAATCCGAAATTGTCATTTCTTTTTTGTTACAATATATTATTGGTTAGAATTCGTCAGTTTAATGAAGCCCTAATTTTCCTTACCTTTTATGTATAATCTTTGCTAAACATTAACAATGATGTTACTTTGTTTTGTCAGTAATTTGTATCATTTAAGACTCAATAGACCCGAAGTTTGGTATTTTCAATTTATAACATGGATTAATCCAACTTTGATATTTTATCTATTGTGACACAAAAAGTGATCAGTTTTGGATTTATAACTGAGTAGAGACTGATGAAAAAATTATTGGAAACGATAATTCCCTTAAATAATTTTTCTTTTTTACAAGTTAATTTTTAGGAAATTGTTTTGCTGTCAATTTGCAATTACTTTTCGTTTTAATTTAGATTAGTTTGGAAATATCATACAGACCTAAACTAATGGTTTAAAAGTTAGCATTTTCGATAATCCGGTGATCCAAAAGTTAGGGTCTCCTACTTTTAACCATTACGCCACAGGTTCTAACCTCATCACATCTACTTCAGTTTGGGTAACCAGATAGTATCACCAGCCCTTACGCTTAAAATCTGCCTAATAGTCAAGTATACGGATTTGTACTTAGCAAATGAGTTAATAAAGAGTCATTCTTGGTTCAATCTTAACCCTTAGAGGCGAGTGTTACCAGCGAAGACTCCTTGAAAGCTTTAAAACAAGTAACGCCTAACACTTGTAGATTGTCACTGTTGTCACCTTATAACATACCAGAATTTGTATGTTTTACACAAATGAAAGTGTACCCGATTAATAGTCATCAAGTAGCTATTTCAAAATCACTTGACGTATTTTAGTGTGGGAGACTATCTGGTGTTTTTTCACTGATAGGCAATAAGTTCTTCATCTAAGACAGTGAACACTGAAGCCAACCTCATAAATATATGATAGTCATTCACAAGAAATATCTTGCTGCTGCTTCGTAGCGATTGGCGTGAATTTACTGTCGTTCTAAATTTACTTCGTATGTTTTTATCGTTCTTAACTCAGCGGCATAGAATAATCCTATATTAAACAATAATCACCATTGTGTCACACTGTCACCTCCATTATGCTTCAAAATAAGCTTACAACGAAATATGACTTTTGTGGATGGAATATGTTCAAGACATTATTTATTCATTAATATATGAAAACCTTTGGTACATATCGCCAAAACAAAACGGGTCACACAACAAGTACTTTAAGCTACCTTTGGACACTAAGTAACAATATCTTTGTAGAGATGTGATGAATAAAGTTTCTGATCAACGACGGACATTTCGATGAGTAATCAAACTGAAATTCGGTGTAATAACTTAGTTTCTTTCATATTTTTGTCCACAATTAACTATCTTACAACGATAATGATAAAATGTGAAACTTTAGGTGCACTTTATATCTTATTACAGACATAAATATCACCACGATTATGAGGTAGGTATTAAATGATCGAAGTAAAAAGCGACAGGTATCCAACCTCATAAAGTATTGGTGAGTTTAAAATTAGGTAGACTAGGTACTTGTACAAAACATTAACTACATAGCTACGGCATAAAAACATTTTTCAATGTTGCTCATAAGGTATACAGGATTATTTGCACAAATTAAGATGCAAATTAGTTAACCTGAAGCTGCAATCATGAACTCGATAAAATCACCATATAACACGTTAAGTGCTGATGGATGAAATTTAGAGTAAACAGGGTAGAAAATCACGAATAATGAAATAAGAATGTAAGATTAGAAAGTAAATTTAGAACGTACACTAGTTCATTTAAATAGTCAAAAACTGTTTTTAAACTTTTATTACAAGCAGTGCTACGGAACGAAATGAACTGGGAATGTGGTTAGATGCATAAAAAACGTGAGCTTAATATTTTTACATTGTCCGTAAGTTAAGGATCCGTTTTTATTGAATACAAACTATTTACGTCCATCAGATTAGAAATTACACGTAAATAAGTGGTTGATCTAAGAAATAATCAAGAAATTAACTACATGCGGTACAGAACTATAGTCAACTGAAGTAACAGTAGCAGACATACGTGTTTACACAACGTGCAACTCACCGTAGCTACCAGCGGGACTAAAGTTGTTGCTTCTCTTTGAGGCGAGTAGGCAATCAACATGGAAAAAGTAGTACATACAAAAACATTTGATGTTTACAGACAGTTATAGTGGGTATGGTGGGCCTAGTAACATGTTAATAAACTTTATAATAAATAATTAGGATCATTTTCATTGGTATTGGAACTAAATATAATATTAATTGCACTGTACTGTTTTACCTCATCTGTTAATGAGATGTCATCAAAAACCGCATCGGAGTTGACACTTGAAGCAGACCAACCACAACGAGGAGAAAACTCAGTAAATTCTAAACCACGACAGTCAAATTTTGCAATGGTTTTGAAATGACCAGAATCGTCAAGTGAGTATGGAAGTATGCTACCAGGAATAATATCTGAAATTTGGGAACATGGAAACAAACTGTTTTAATGACTGCAGTTTTATACATAAAAAATGTTAGTCTATATTATACTAAATGCAAAATAGGCGGTTGTTATATCCGAGTGGAGATTAAATTACAGGTAACTTCCGAGGACTATTCATGGACTAATATTCTTATTGTATAACTACTCAACAATTACACTATGTATATTTATATTCCTTTTATGATAAGCTTTATTTTGGCCTATAATTTATTATTGTACGATTTACGGTTCTTAAGTTATGTTCAGTTTATTAACTACTGCCTCCCACGTTCACAGCCACTTTTTGGGCTTATTTGTGTACAAATATTATTTCCTATTTTATGGTACGTTGCGGTCTGTATGATTGATATATAAACCAAGTATGCCTGAAATAAACGATCTGCTCTGATTCGGAAGCTGGTATCTTGTTCTGGACTCAAGTGGAAGGGCTCGTAGGACATAGGACCAATAAGGACGCTAAACTGCCCACACCGGTTGAACGTCATTGGTTGGCCTAGTGTGAAGATTCGTATAAGTCGAATTCGGATTGGTAGATAAGTCGTGTGATCGAAAAGTCAGACATCCAAGGTCATAACAATTGGCGACGGGGGTTTTGGCAAGAACAAAATAATTGGGAGACGCAAGGTCATAACAGCGGTAAATAGCCGCTTAAATGATTGAGCAAAAAGTAGATCTATTTATTTAAAAAGCATTTACCGGCCCAAGATTCGAGATGTTTCGTTGGTCCTTAACTAAAATTGTGAGTTGAGAACAAACTGACCAAACTTTATGGAAGCCGGTAGTCATATTGCATACACCTGGAGGTATTTGCAAAGTTTAACTGGCTTAAAAGATTTAGAAAACCAGGTTAGTATTTCAGACTACTGTAAAACGATGACTTAGTGGTTATAGTACATGATTTGTAACTGGTTGCCTTTACATACAAACATGCTTTTAATAACATCAGTCGGAGTGTTACTAACACTTACGTATTGCGATTCAAGGCTGAATAAATGGATATTTATATGATTAATGAGTTGCTTTACTTTCTCTGGAAAGGCTGTTGACTATAAAACAATGAGTTGTGGCTTCAAAATCTATTTCGTCTATCCAGCAGAATTTCAGGAATCCAACAGTACAACTACGCTAGTTACCAAAAACGTAGCAACAACTGTAAGAAAAATAAAGGGCTAAACAGCACTGCTTTATGTTTTATCATGTTTGGACTTACGCTACATGTAATTTTTAAAAGAAACATTCCCTGTTACAACAAGCCCCATTGACATCACGAAGTCATGTCTATATTCAAGTCATCATAAAATGTAGTCTCTGAGTCGATGTTTGGTCATAGCTTGGCACAAGTGTGGATAGGGTTGTTGTGGATTCCAGAATAACTGAATAAATCACTAAAGTTAAAAACTACTACGTAATTTACATGTGCATAACATTTACGTGGGATAGGGTCGGAGTGCTAACATTGAAAGCTTATAAGATTTCACTATCAACTCAATGGAACGATTTATCAAGAACTATGGTACGGTGGTCTAAGTGAAAAATGGCAAGAAATATGTACTGTGGTAGCCATCCACCAAGTCGCTTTACAATAAGTATTTATGTGGACCACAAGTGGAACAAGCCGATGAGCTTTTGCTGGGACGTAAGTTCCACTCAGCAATAAGCAGTCAGTGAATTATAAACCTCTCTTTGAATCTCATGCCTTGAAGTTTGAAAGATGCACAACATATAAACAGACTGCATACCAGCATTTGAAACTCGTTTACAAAATTTACACCGGATTACTAAATTCGCATCCCCGCGACTGTCTTGAATTGGTGTCTTTTCCTGAAATTATTAGAGCACATGGGCTCGCCAACTTACTACACTGTTAATGTATACGTAATCATGAGTATTTTCGCCGCAGTTCCCGCACTTTACCTATTCGTTGTCAGGTCGAGATCATAATTCGAACGTTCGTACCTTTAAATACCAACGAAAATCATCACATGAAGGACTTAGATTAGTGACATTCGTAAGTTCACAACTAATTTGCACACCAAGTAGCTTAGAGATGCTATTATTCGGTTTATTAAGGCTTACTACCATTAGTATTTTGGAACAATTGAGCTAGTAAGATGTTCGATAAGGATTCAGTCACAAATAGCTTTGATCAGTATACGTATTTCACCGAGAGTGAAGCAAAACGAGTATTAACAAAATCAAAAAATGACCTTGACTACCTCAAACTCCCTCCTGATTAAAAATTACTCTTGATCAGAATTTTTTACTCAGGCTTATGTGAAAAGAAGAACACTTAGCACGTTAGAATGATTTCGCATGGTAATACGCGAAGTGGATGCTTTATTCGGGAGCGGTGTGTTTTCTGATTATTATTTTGGAGAAATGATTTCTCAAGATGTTTTAGTATAAGAAAACATGTAAAGGAAAGTTTGTCAAATTAATTTATGTTCCCTGGAAGATCGTAGGTTCTCGCCTGAGTGACTCCGCAAAATTTTATTGAGCCACTTGGGGATATGTACGAGTTCAAGAGTTGACTACTTTCAAGTAGTGGAAAACAAATATACAGCCTAACCTGATATCCTCGGACTCAGGGTAGCGAATGCTGCTCTGAACTTTGGTGTTGTGACTAAATTTATTGCCCTCTACAGGATAGAACCATCTTCCGAACCCTTGATATATAGGCAGTTCCCATATTGTTTGTTCCAAGACAGTAGTAGTACAACTCTATTTTTCTCACATCCTTATTCAAATGGATACCGTATTTCCCTGATGGTGCTTGAACTCGGTCTCAACATAAAATGTGCACTTCGACAAAAATTGTTGACAAAGCGAGGAGGAACGATCGCAAACTTTTAACGGTTAAGCTCAAGCGGGCGAAAACTAGTGTGTTTTATGAAGTGAAGTAGTCTAAAAACTTTTGTTGTGAAGATGACGCAGGTATTCAGTGTTTGACAACGCTTTTACCAGTAACATCTTCTAATATAATTTGTACCCATCGAGAGAAATCAAAAGACAGAGTCGAGGAGATCGGAAGAGTGTATTTGGCAATAACCAATATATCTGAATTGTCTGATCTAATCTGGCTAGCGATTGCGGTTGATGTTGAACACGGCGTTACCACACGTGATCTGGTGCGGATGACTGACCGAGCGCCTTCAGCTAGGTGAGTCCACTAAAACATATGGTCAGCATCCAATGTCGAAAACTTACAAAGCAATTTATTTTGGGGATTTATTTACCGCTACAGTTGACTCTTATAGCATATGTAAAACAGGTGCTGTAAGTATAGGTGTTCGGTCTGTGTTCAAACATAATATTATCAAGCCTAATCTTACAGCAGCCAACTAAATAAGCTGTAACTATCTCTAAAAGTAAAGTCTTCCTCTGGGATAGCGATACTGTATAAGTTTCATAGTAGAGAATCATAACCAAATTTAAGGGGCTTTTTGTAGGACCTATATTAATCGTTGCCATAGAAATTTCTAGGTGCTGGTCACTATATAGAAAATACTGACTTTTATTCACTTGATAATTCCTTCCGGACTTTTGGTTGTCTCCGGCACAGATTACTCCTAGAGTCTGCAAGATGATAAAATTTGATAATTAATATCATTGCGAAGAGCTTGCGTAAATGTGAGGATGATTCATGTATCAACTCGGGGAATCTCTAAGAAGCTCAGAAAGAGCCGAAGACGTTCCATCCAATTATCATTTAGAAGAACATTTCAGAAACTCGACGTGTAGCTTACCTATTGGACAAATTCTAAAAAACCGAAGTATACGAATTGGATGAATATAATGTTGATTTCGGCTTTACTAAAAATTATAAATACCTGGGAGTTTTGTACCATGTTTGACACTGTTCAGAATAACATTTCTTGTTACTCGTCCTCCGTCTTCTCATTTATGACTTGAAAGGTTCTAGCGTTCGAGTGCTCAAGTAGTACATGGTATATCAAGAACGTGGGCCCTAGAAATAACAGTAAACCAGAGCATTTCTTTGAACTCATGCTTTGGGATAAGATCACATTTCATCCCAGTATTATTCGACGGGAGCAGCCAAGGCGTTTTACTAAACTAGTCCTGGTGAATTCAACTTGTCATTAGCCTATGTAAATGAGTTTGTCAATACATATATCGGCATAGTTGCTTCTCAGATATTTAGGCCTTATTATTCTGACCACATCGGCTTCTCTCCGACTACATGGAAAACTGTTAATCAGTCATATAACTTAATGTCTATTTGTAGAACACTTCGACAGTTTTCGCTCCGTAACGAAAGACCGCGAACTTGTGTTATTAGCTCCTAACCACACAATAATCCCAAACCAGATCATATCCATACGATCCCACGAGTGTTCAGTTTTACGTGTGTGATGGCGAATGCAAGTGTGATTGGTCAGCCAGTATGGACAAACATGCTTTCAACCTTGTGATTCCCTTTTTTGTATCGATTTCAGTTTTGAACACACTGATTGTGACTGCTTGGATTTGTTTGGAATAAACGTAAACATTTTGAGTTATTGTGGTGTTTGAACGAACTAATGATTCTGTTGTACTTGTTGACTGCTCGATTTAAAATTCCAAATACAATACGTTCGTTTGTGCTTTTGTCTTAATTCTTGATTCAATTGCGTTATTTCTGAGATTCTTAGTTCATACTATAATTCAAATATTATACTGGCGTCGCGATGGAGCCTGCGATTGTAAAGTTAGATATTCATTCAACTTCTGAGGCTTTTGAGGATTACTTTGAAAGGTTCGAAATCTGGGTTACGACCAAGGAAGATGATGAGGATGTTAATATTGTGGCACATTTCCTCACATTCATTGGAAAAGAAGCATACAGCTTATTAAGAACTCTGGCTATGCCGGAAAAGCCCATTTCGCTTCCTTATACAGCTCTCAAGGAACTACTGCTAGACTAGGTTCGGTATACAAATTTCGAAAGCAATAAAGGAAGATTTCCTTAAATGATTCATGAGGATATAAAAAATTCCACTGCATTTCGTCATCCCAAGCCAGTGCATATTCAAGGTTATGGAGATAATCCATTGAGGAGTTGCGATGCATTTCACGAAGATGGGCATAAGTTTGGTCAATGTTTATCCTGTGGCAAGTTCCACTCTTTTAATTCATGTAAATTTCGTAATTCTAAGTGTTTTAAATGTGGTGATATTGGACATATTCAGTCAGTCTGCTTTCCGATTTTGCTGAGGAATCTTACGAAATTTAGGGAACCCCTATGTAGACATGTTCAGGTTATGCAAGATTACAGTGAGGACACAGGAATCGAATACCAAGTATCAGTTTAAAACACAAAGTGTATATTCTGGAAGGCCTAAATGTCTACGTTCGACGTCTGATTCTTATACTATAAACTCGCGGATAAGTAAAACTTATTGCACACAGTTACAAATCTGGAACCGCTATCTAACATCCAGTCTGACTAGATAAAAAATATGGTTTTTCTCTGTGACAAGGGATATAGGTTGTTTACCTAGTTTTTAGCATCGACATAGCTAAAGACTCAACATACTGACCATAAGTTTTTACAACCTTTGGCAGCCGACGCACGGCACTCTGCAGTAATTTTTAAGTCTTGGCTAACGATAACGCTTAAATCATTGTATGTATGGACAACAGACAGGTCACTGTTATTCAATGTATATGAATATGTATATGGGTGACCATTGTGCATCATAATGCACTTGGAAGTATTTATCGTCAAATGCCAAATTTTAGACCATTCAGAAAGTTTCTCCAGGTCATTTTGCAGTTCGAAACTATTAACTGAACTATATGTCGATGTCGACAGCAAATAAAAGAAAAGCCGCTGTCAATATGTTCGAAGGAACGATTAATATTTGCAGCACTAGAAATCGTTGGGATTAACTGTAGGTCACTTGACCTTCTGTTCTTAAAATAGACGGTTGAGTATTGGCGGCTTTTGTGCTGTCTAGGTCACTTGTCGAACTTAGGAAAGGGATTTCCCATTTAAATTATATTAACACTGGGAAATACTTGTTTCTAAATTCCTGGTAACATTTCCTATCGCTACAGTAACTATTAAGCTTGAAAGTCACAAGTAAACTAACTTTATAAATCGAAGTTATCTGTGGCAAAATAATTGTTCTTCATCTCAATAAACTTCGCCTTTTGTTATTGTTGTTAGTCAGTAATTAGGGGTTACTTGTTGTTTGTAAGGATAATTATCTATATTCTTTTTGTAAGGGAATTTACATGTGGCTGAACAACCACATGTATATTTTTAATATACTTAAAAATGTATATTTGGTAGATGATTATGTACGTTATATACTGTGTGAACTAGCTAAGCCGTTTTCTGGGTTTAGCATCGGTAGATAGCGCGGGTTTTGTAAAATTAAGACCAATATATTTGTGATCTATGTCATAAAATTCAAATGCCGAAAAATTCCCCCCAAACTTTGGAGATTTCCGAAAATAGGGAGACTGGGCTAATTTTGAGTAATAAGGACACTAACTTCAGATAATACGTAAAACAAAGTAGTTAGCGGGGCGAGTCCAATTCATGGGTGGACTGACCAGATACAATGTACCCATTCCTGGATTATTTTGTTCGAAATCTATTTATACATTTGTCTAAAGAGCTTTTTGGCATTATAGCTAATGCTAGTTAGTGATGGCATTCTCAAGGTAACTTTAGTTTCGCTCAAGGGTCGCCCATCAATTATGGTCTCACCGACTTCGTTCATATTTTTATCCATACAAATGTATTACCAGGTAAAACAGGTGTCAATCCACAAAAACGATGAAATTTAATGTTTCGAAACGTACGGACACACTTTAGTGATTATAAAAAGTAAAATCCACCTAAAATACGTATATCTGACTTTCTGAAAATACAAGTTATCAACATTTTTCTATCACTTCACAATAATGTTCGTTTTCTTTTTCTTAAATTCTGAGTGAAGGAAACTACTGGTTAGATAAAAATGGCCCGTCAGTCGCGTGGATTGGAATCTAAAAGAGTGGTATGATTTTTAAGTAAAACTTGGTGTATCTAAAAAATCGATAGACAGCTGAATTGTTCACTTTGACATATGGTGCTCTTGTTGCTAATATTGTTAGAGATTTCGATACAGATGCAGAAATTAATGAACAGTTGGACAAAATGTAAGCCGCCTAATTAATCTTATTAGATGTAATTGTCCTCAATTAGCGGATTTAATATTGGTCTAAAGTTGGTTGAAGACTACTTAGCGCGCGGGAATCCTGGTCGTTGTAACGATTTCAAAGAAACCGCTGAAGCAGTCGTAAAAGTAAGCAAATAACAAGACAGTTCTCGCTTGTTTATGTGTTTGTTCTCACTTCATCTTGTGAGTATCTTAGACCAACAAGTTGATAAAGGCTTTAACTGCTTTCAGGACCTGAGAATTGACCCTATGTTGCAGAAAAGAACAGTTTTATACTTTATTGATGGATGATATCTTCTAAGGTTGTTAGCATTGGCGAATAAAATTCTGACCGACAGATGATGATCGACTATTGTAACACCTAGTCAACCATTAGTTACTCACGAGACTGAATTACCGGCACTAACCATTGGATGAACTGATACATCAAAGCCAACTAGGCAGCAGAACAAGCTTTGTATTCAAAAAGAATTACGATGTCACTTGAAACATCAAATGAGTTAGTGAATATAACTTTTTAGATAGTTTAATTTCTGATAAATTTGTAGACCGGGTTTAAATTTGGGTTGCAAGACTTATCAAAAGATATGAGTCGCTGCATAATTCGAGAATTAGAGAGTGGACGAAGTATATTAGATAATAGCTCAAATTTTCTGCAATCAAGCTTCAGTTTCTTACGGTGTAAATTACACCTAGTTGAGATGTTGGCATTAAATCATCAATCAATAAAGCGTTCTGTTAAGCAGACTATAACTTTTTACGAGATAAAACAGATAGTGAGCAAATATTGGATTTCAACTTAATAAGTCATATGCATAAGTTGGAGGGTTGATAGTTTTCGTTAAAAAAACAGGAAAACCAAGGAGTCTGTAGATATATAGTTTATATTGTTTAATATTCGAACCTACACTAGTATACAAAATAGAATCTGCGCTATATATTCCGCTACTAAGACTGCTGTTATCTGTGACTTAAACTTACTGGTTGCATTTTTTCAATTTATCTTTCCTGTTTTAGGGCTTCAAAATCTTTTTAGGCATAACTCCAACTATTTGTAAATTCAGTTCTGCTGGTGATGAATTCAGTCTTGTATTGGAGAATAATCCATTGACAGAATTTGTTGATCTTCCTGCTGAACATCAAAACCTACTTTATTCCAACGTATTGGCTGGTGCGATACGTGGTGCTTTGCATAATGTAAGATATATACATGTGTTTATATATATATATATATATATATATATATATATATATATATATATATATAAGAATACGTTAAAAGAAAGATAGGGACTGCCAAACCGTGACTTAAAATCGGTCCATGAGCAATATACTTAGATATGGACTTGTTGGTTGGGGTCAGAGCAATCATTATAACCAGTGATTGAAGACGTTGAGTGATATAGCTCAAAATTAGCTGTCATGGCGCAGATACTTTTACTCTTTATCTTCGCATTTATCTTGTTAATTACATCTCATTATGCTAATACAGTATGATGACTGGGATCGATACACATCTGTACCGGGTTCCACGCTGCTTTCTATTGAATGACTAGTGAACTCTATTTCATGTGGGTCATTAATTTTCAGTGTAAATGTAACACATTCCTTATTAGGCTTGAGTGTCCTGAGTTTGATTCCGTTTAGGAGGCTCGGGTTCATATTAATGAGTAAATTTCTGAACTTTAAACAAAATACTTGTTCATAAATCTGTAATTTACAACGTAAGTATTTTTGGTCACCTATTTTTCTTCCTATGAATCTCGACAATTCAGCATGCACTGAAGTAATATACAGTGTGATACTCCTCATTTAGATCCCTTACTCATTAGATGTTAGCATTAGTGACTGACACACTTGGTGTTTTTGCAATAAGTTTCTTTTCCACTAACGTAGTTACTATATATGCAGATAAATTATTAACGAAAACCAAGTCGAAGCAATACAAATATTTATCTTATCAATATAGTTGATCGTAATACTAGATCAGAAAAGTTACATGCCTTTAGTTTCAGTCGGAAACCATGACGGAATATTATAAAAACAGTGAGTAGTGTTTGTGTTCATGTATACATGAGTTCATCATTAGTGTATCGGAAAGAATTTAACTTCTTAAGTTTGGTTATCCTAATCACACACAAGTTACGTAAATCTAGTTGGACAGATCAATACCATTAAATTGGCTGGGTAGTTCTCTTCGATGCTTATCGTTTATAATATTTACAGTAACTCAGCTCAAGAGGTTATTTATTATTTATTTATTTGAACACATAAATATTGGTACAAGGGGGCACCAAATATATATGCGCCACACAAAACAATGAGAATTCAAAGAGAAGGAAAAAAAGGTAAGGAGCGTAAAAAAGAACGATAGCGAACAGATTAATGTAAGGTAGTGTAATAATAACGATAGCGGGGGAAACAGAAACGTACAATCAGAAGAGATCTTTCAGTTAAGGAAGAAGCAACCACTTTTTATGAAGAAAGTAAAAAAAGGTTACAACAGGATCGCTTCTGGCTTCTATTCTGAGCCATATCTGATAACGTCTCTACTCGAGAACGTTTAGATAGAGCCGAGTTTCCACCATAGGCGAGCTGCTGTGTAAGTCGAAAAATAAGGATAGACAGAGTGAGAATAAAAGAGAGTGAATAAATGACGTAGTAAATAATAATAATTATAATAATGATAATAATAGCAATAATAATAATAATGTGAATCGGTTGATTGTTAATTGGAGCAAGAAAAGTATTTCCCATAATTATCGACAGTTCATCATATTTGTGTGTGGGCTGTGATACTGCCCGGGTGCCCAGACCGAAGCAGGTCAGCCAACCACTTGATCTCAGGTTCGAGTCCCCTCATCCTTAACGGTTTGGGAAACCAATTAGTAACCCTAACTCACACATAAAGTGTGACTCAAAGCTAAATATACGAACACGTACTGAGTGATGCTACGTTCAATATTATGATGGATGTATTTTTTTTCCATAAAATTGGGATATTGTTAATTAACGTGCAACAAAAAACTTTGTTAACTGCATGCTGCAATTAAGAATTAAGTACAGTACACTCCAGTGTTTTTTATTGTTTAACTTTACTGATATTCTCTAAATTCAGCACTTCGTTTCTCATTATAAACACCTGATAACATTATCATACAAAATGCAAGGTCTCATGTAATATTACTGTGTGGTTAACTTTGTTACTTTAACAATTAGACATTAGAATTTTTAAAGCCCAGTAGATTAAACTGGTTTTACGATTGTAACACTACATTTAATGATATATTGAATCCTTAATTTATTAAATACTAACGTACGAAAAGTTTGCTTCCCTTATTCATCCATTTAAATAAATAAGTACACTCAATTTCCATCCACATCCTCTAACCACCTTAAATCAAAAACATAGGGTTTGCGATGTTGAGTTATCTTAGATCATTGACCATACTGCAACATGAAAAATGCAATTTCGCTATCACTGAGGTCCAGTAAAACATGGTATTGATTACTACTCAATAATTGATCACCATACATATCTCATTCCTACAGTAAGTTAATTGAGGCCCAATTCATTTCGTGATAATATTTTCGATACTGAACAGTAGTAGGTTCAAATGCCTCAGGGAGCAGTTCACCTAAGGATAAGTATACGCTTTTCTGACGAATATCAATTAGCACAAAACCTGGACCTTGAAAGCTTTTAATTTATTTTCATAGTTTATTTTTGTAATTTAATTTTTATATTTTATGCACAATCTTATTTAAGGTACAACTTGAAGTTGAGGCTCGATTTGTTCAAGATCAATTACGTGGTGATCAAATCAATGAGATACGCGTAAAATTTATTCGTCGTATAGAAGAAATTATTCAAGGAGATGATTAATTCATCATGTTTATTTTAATATTTGCAGTTCAATTTTATAAATATATTCACTGAATGTATTTTTACGTTACATAATTTTTTCTATGAATTTGTTCTTTGATAATAATAACAATAATGATAAAAAATGCATTTTCTGTACTAAAACTTAGGAAAAATCTAATGGCTGTGCACAAATAAATACCATTCCTATTTTCCAAAGTGTTTTTATTTAGATTTTTCAAACTACTGAAATATATATTAGTAAGTGAATATTTTGATTATTTTATTATTTTCTAGCTATGGCCTTAAATCCACAATATTCACATACTACTACACCAATTATAGAAGCTTGGTTAATTAAAGCTCTTCGTCTTGTACATTCAAAAAAGTCTAGTGATCGTGATAAACTGCGTAAATTTTATAAAGAAGCTTGTGAAAATGAAGCACAAGTTGTACATATGACTATTGCTGAAGCTCTACGTGAACCTCGGGAGTGTATTACTACAAATTATGAATCAAATGATGTAAGTTGCTTACAACTTTTGATCATATTTAAATACTAATTGTTTTGTGCTAATTATTCGTCCATATATTCATAATATGTCGATTTCACTTGCGCTACAGTGATATGAAAATCAAGGTTATTATCTCAAAGAGAGATAGAGCTCTCTTCAAGATAATATACGAAACTAAATGTATCAAAGTTATTACTTCAGTGAATTATCCTTATTTCATCGATATCTACTAATATTTTGGGAAATCTTCCATTTTTTTTAACGATTTTCTTTAGAAAATCACCTGTTTATGTAATTTATTATATCTTCAACTTCCCCTCATATTTATATATCCTAATCTAGCGAGATACATCCACTTCTACTCATTCTACGCAACGAACTCGTGTAGCACAATCCGTGAATGATCCAAGCCAATCTACGTCTTCGTTCATTTGTACAACAACCACTAATAACATAGTTACGAATGAATCTATGAGTTCAATGAATACGAATAGTAGTGGAACTTCAATGTTTACTACTACATCCACCTCTAATCCTGATCAAATTATAAGTTCCACTACTACTGCTACCACTAATAATAATATTACTTCTGGTATACCTACTTCACCAGTGATTGGAACCACCACGCATTCTTCAAATTCAACTACAAATCGTGCAAATAAACGTAATAAAGTGGCATTTTTCAATATTTTTGACGTTGCTTCATCGACACCCAACAACAGTTCCATATCGAATACTCCGATAGTCTCAAAAAATAATACGGCACAACGATCTTTAAACCAGTTAGATAATACATTATCAATCGAGTCAGTTGGTATGTTGTAATCTTGAAGTGTATTTCGTCTTTTTTTCTTTTAATTTTTCATTATCGAATTAATGTTTATTGATTTCAATGGTAGTCTTTGTTGTTGATATGGTGACGAATATTTGTAGCGTAAAATGAGGATTTCGAAGGTGCTTTGCTATTTTTTTGAGCTTCATGGCCTAGTTATCAAGTTTTTGTTGTCTTTCTTGATAACATGTATTAGTAAATGTTTCAAAAATTCTCTATCATGAAAATTCTAATTCACTGTTAGGAATTTATCGTATTCGATGCGAAACTTAAAAATTTTTTACTCGATTTTGTATTGAATCTCTCGCTTCTCTTTGAAGTCCTGTATCGGAATGATATAACCGTTCTAGATTAGCGTCGTTTATGTTTGATTGTATAGTATAGTTTTATTGTTTCTTGGAATCCGTCAAAAACACTAAGAGAGTAAGAATTGTTTTTTTGGTATTGTTACAGCTTTCTTCAAGATATAAAAGATAGTGTACATCACTTAAAAATTGGTAGCCACTTATTTTTTTAGAAACTAATTCTTATCTTATCTAGTCTTACACTATGAACGGTGAAGTATTTTTGGTAACGATCGTCAATAGAGGAGGGACTTATTTCTATATTTAATTACCAAGTATTATTTTATTGGTTTCGTTACATGGAGGAACGATGGTCTCGTTATCTTTCCTTTTAGACAATGTCATCGCAGTGGTATACAAAAGTAACATTTAAATATATCTCTGAAAGCAGCAAACTAGTCAATTCTCTTGAACTTCAGTGAGTGATGATAAAGTGTAGATAAAGCACTCTAGTTAAATCACTAGTCTAAACGTCGTTTCACCTACTTTCTTTTGGTCAGCTGGATAGTACCATCAGATTTCATATGCACAGAAAAAGGTATAACTCTAAGTTGAATAGAGAAATCTTTATTTAAAAAATTAATCAAATGAGTTTAACTTACAATAAGATTACACAATCGTTTTATCAAACCTTTCGGATTGAAGGGTTAAATTATCAGTTATGGTGGGTTTTAGGCTAAAAGTGCGTTTCACTTATCTCCATGTCGGCAATAACCAGGTACTAAAAGTAGTCCTCTCTTTAGATGTAACGTGGTTAAAGGTAGTTGGCAGGAAATTCTGTACCTAGGTTCCGTGCTAACTGGAACTCGTCAATAGGACTTACTTGCAATCTTGGGGGAACTGATGCTCTCGGATAGGTTTGAGCTCGTGTCGCCCAGTTTTACAATGTGAGATATTACTAGTAAACTACTTGTACGGCGAATGGCCCGTTGTTTGACTGAGATATGTACAACTGATTAACCAAAGAGAAGTGAGCGGCCAATGTCATGTTTATCTATTCCTCGAGCACTGTTTGTATTCTATTGAATACATCGCATGGACTACTAGCAGTAAAAAGAGGACTAGGCAAACATAAAATTGGTCACTCACTACTCAGTAATCATTCAGTTGTAAACAACGTGTTCTCGTACGAAAAATATGATTTAAACTTTACTATAAAAACTTGTATCTAGTTATTCAATCACATCAATTTAATGTAAAAAAGTACGTACTTGTGTGTTTTCATAACACATGTATGTATTTAACTGTTTCTAGATTTTAGTAATACAACAATTCAACTATGTACTATTTCTTCAATAAATGATGATAATCAAGAAATAACAACGGATTCAGTGATAGGCAACACTGGAACAACTAATAACATTTCAATGCATTCTAATTTATCTAATCCTATTATAGATCTTACATTTACAGATAATGAAACCGCGTCGGTTTCGTCTTCCTTGGCTATCAATACCACCACGTCTGCTAATACTGTTGCTGTTACTCTGCCTTTAAGTGAAGATAAACAAATGGCCACTGGGAAAGTGATGAATCCTCCTACCATGAACACTACTACTACTAGTACCATTATTACTACTCCAACTACTTATATTCCTACAGTGTCATCAGTATCACTGCAGCCACCATCACTTTCTTCTCCTGTTGTTACAGTTATTGGTGCGTTGACAAAATCAACTCAAGATAATTCTAGTTTTAATACTAATACTACTACTACTACTAATAATAATAATAATGCACGTTTGTTGGCTGCAAGTCTAGTCGCAGATCTTGTATGTCGTCTATGTGGTCGTCTGTCACAACAACCACAATTAGAACCGGACAACAAAACACTGAATGCAAATGTACTAGTGGAGTGCATCAAATGTGGTTCATTATATCATCAATTATGTCATCAACCATTAATATTAATGTCAACACCCAAACAACAATGGTTATGTATAAATTGTTCGATCACTACCACTACTAATACAACTATTTTCAATCCTTCATTTGTATCATCAGTATCTTCGTTAACATCATCAATATCTTGCACAGCTACATCGTCTTCGAATTCTTCGCTTACTACTTTAGCAATATCAGCTAATTCAACATGTGTTAATAGCATGTCAGCCGATCCTATGATACCGTGTAGTGTAATACAATCTGATGGGGATATTTTATCGAAAGATGTAACAATGATTACAGATAATAATAATAATAATGAGTATTCGTTCTCATCATCAACACATCATTCATCTGTAGTTTTATCTAATCCAGTTCACTTTCAGTCTCGAGAAACAACTTCAACTGTTATAACACCACAAACATCATCATTACCAGTGTGTACTTCTACTTCTGCTACTACTAATAATTCTATTACTACCGTTAGTTCAACTACATCTGCAAGTACAGTCAATGTTGGTGCACGTAAACGTAAACCGGCATTCACAAGTTCATTATCTGGTCTACCTCGTAAATTAAAAGATGATTATAATTGATTTACTATCCTTCTTTTTTTTTATTCTTTAGAATTTAAATTTGGAGAAATGAATATTAAGTTTAAATTTTACAAAATAATGTACAACTACTTTCTTTTCTTTTTAATGTTATGAAATACAATAAGACAATTGTTTAATATTCTGCGTTTATTTTTCTTCATTGTCGGTGCTAAAGATTGCAATTGATCAGTCACTTTTTGGCATATGTGTATCCTGAGCAGATCATCTTCATATTTCCATCAATTACAAATATGTTTGAGCAGAAATAGGAGTGGCTGGAAAAGAAGATTCAATCCTTTACAACTGGACTATGGTTGATTCTTGCTGCACAACCCAGTGGCTATTTAAACTTAATATCTAAGTGGACAATTCGTTGACATTCAGAGCGAAAGGCACTAGCTTCGAGTTCTGAAATAAACATCAACACCAAGACCCAATTACATCCAGTTATAAATGAAATGCGCGTCTTGAATGTCACTACAAGTCACATTGGATCTCTTCTTGAAAAAGATTTTTTAAAATTGTTCATAATACTTGTTAGATACAGATAGAAAGTCGTTTGTCTTACGAGTTCAGCTTTCAGACTGGGTTTAGTGTTGAGGTCATTGACATTAGTTGAACTGTCACAACTGTGTCCGTGTCATCCCATGATATCTTCATATCCGATGTTTTTCATTCCGGCTTTTGCGTTTAGGTCTCCCATTAAGATAGTAGGGTCCTTCCCTGGGCACTTCTCTACAAACGACTGCAGCCCCTCATAAAACTGGTCTTTATCGTCATCATTGATAACATTGGTGGGTGTATAACACTGGATAGCATTCATTGTGATTCCCTCCTTTATTTTGTAGGATGCTTTGCTGATCCTGGGGCCATGAGATTCCCGTCCTATGGGTGCTTTTCGGGCTTCTCTGAACAGCATCAGAGCAACTCCCTGTGTGTGCGGATCATTTTCTTCGAGACCAGAGTACAACAGCATCTCTCGCTAATCTAACCTTTTCTGTCCAGCTTGAGTCCAGTGGGTTCCACTGATTCCGAGCAACACCAAGTTATATCTCCTCGTTTACACAGCTATTTGATTAGTCCGCATGGTCTCCCACATCGTCCGGACATTCCATGTACCTCTATATGAGTTTTTGGTCTGGTTGTTAGAAGGGGTATCGACGTCGTGACTTCCGAAGAATCTCGGCTTTCACCATGAGGCACCATGATTCTTTTGAGTGGAGATCCTTCAACTTATAGGGCAGAGTTTAAATGGTTTGAACTTTTTTTCTGGTTAGCGTTTTTAAAGCAAGGTTGACTTCTACGGGTTGGGGTTGTTGATCCCATGCCCAACATTCTTCCTTTACCCTGACTTGGGATCCTTAGTAACCTTAGAAGAGCTACAGGCGGTGTTTCATATTTACATTGGTTAAACTATAATGATGTATGATGCTCTGATCAAGTCACTTTGAGTTATTGATTGACTTTCGGCTAACCGGTGTTCAGGTTCGAACCTTACTCCATCTGTTTTGCCCCTAGCATCTGTGTAGTATCACTATTCATAAAATAGTGGGGCTTAAAGCTGAACGTATATGTCTTTACTTCATTATAAGTAAACGGATAATCCTTGTTAGAAATTGTTATTCATTCCGTTTGAACTCTTAACCCATAGGAACTTGTGTTGGTTAGATATCTAATATTACACGACTAGAATTAGAGTATATAGTTATATTGTATATAGATTTATTTTTCCATCCGTTCAATATTTAATATCCTATTCATCTTGTGCTTTTTTTCCATCACTGATGTTTATATGAGCAGTAACAGCAAATACAAATTAAGTGGTCATACAGGATGTCGCAAGTGATCTAGTAATTTGTCTATACTTACTTACGCTTGTTACTCCTCGTGAAGGAACATAGGCCACTCACCAGCATTCGCCATCCAACCCTGTCCTGGACAATCATTTCCAGCTCCTTCCAGTTGTTATTCATCCTTTCCATATCTGCTTTTATTTCCCGACGTAATGTGTTCTTTGGCCTTCCTTTTTTCCGCCTTCCTTCAGGATTCCAAGTTAGGGCTTGTCTCGTGATGCAGCTTGACGATTTGCGTAATGTATGTCCTATCCATTTCCATCGTCTTTTCTTAATTTCCTCTTCACCTGGAAACTGGTTTGTTCTCTCCCACAAAAGGCTGTTGCTGATGGTATCCGGCCAATGGATGTTGAGTATCTTGCGTAGTCCTTGCTTTGCCAATCCTCGCCTTTACGTCTGCATCTGAACCTCCTTGTTCATCGGTGATGCTTCCCAGGTATGTGAAGGATTCTACATCTTCCAGAGTTTCGCCATCAAAAGTGATTGGATTGCTGTCCGCTTTGAATTTGGGGACCTTGGTTTTCTCCTTGTGTATGCTGAGGCCTACTGATGCAGAGACTGCTGCTACACTGGCTGTCTTTATCTGCATTTGTTCATGTGTATGCGATAGGAGGGCCAGGTCATCTGCGAAGTCCAAATCGTCCAATTGATTCTGAGCTGTCCATTGTATTCCGTGTTTTCCCTCAGATGTCGAGGTCTTCATTATCCAGTCAACCACCAGAAGAAAGAGGAAGTGAGAGAGTAGACAGCTGTGTCTGACTCCGGTCCTTACTTGGAATGCATCTGTCAACTGTCCTCCATGCACTACTTTGCACTGTAGTTCGTCGTATGAGTTCCGGATAGTGTTGACAATCTTCTCAGGAACTCTGTAGTGTCGAAGAAGTTTCCATAATGTCCTCCTATCCACACTGTCAAATGCCTTTTCATAATCAATGAAGTTGATGTACAGTGACAAGTTCCACTCAGTTGATTGTCCGACGATGGTCCATAGTGTCGCAATTTGGTCTGTGCACAACCGATCCTTACGGAATCCAGCTTGTTGATCTCGAAGTTGGGCGTCTACTGCATCCTTCATCCGGTTGAGCAAAACTCTGTTTAAGACTTTCCCTGGTACTAACAGTAGTGTGATTCCTCTGTAGTTTTCACATTTGCTCAGGTCTTCTTTTTTGGAATCTTGATGAGGTGTCCTTCTTTCCAGTCCATCGGCACTTGTTCCTCCTCCCAAATCTTTTTGAATAGAAGGTGAAGCATGTTTGTAGTTACTTCGATGTCTGACTTCAGTGCTTCAGCTGGTATATTGTCGGGTCCTTCTGCTTTCCCGCTGTTGATTTGTCTGATGGCCATTCTGATTTCTTCCGTCGTTGGTGGATTGACATCTATAGAAAGATCTGTGTGTGCTGCTTCGATGTCCGGTGGATTCATTAAAACCGGCCTATTCAGCAGTTTTTCGAAGTATTCCACCCATCTGTTCTGCTGTTGTTGAATTTCAGTGATTGGCCTGCCTTCTTTGTCTTTGACCGGTCTCTCTGGCTTACTGTATTTCCCTGCTAGTTTCTTCGTTGTATCGTGAAGCTGTTTCATATTTCCTTCCCTCGCAGCTTTTTCTGCCGTCGTTGCTAGTTCTTCCACGTATTTCTTCTTGTCGGCTCTAATTCTTTTCTTCACTTGCTTGTTTGCTTCTACGTATTCAGCTTGTGCTTGGACTTTTTCTGCTCGTGTTCGGCTGTTGTTAACTGCTGCCTTCTTGTTCTTCCTTTCTTTGATCTTGTCCAGTGTTTCTATAGAGATCCATTCCTTATGATGGTATTTCCTTAGACCCAGAACCTCTTGACACGTTGAAGTTAATGCTTCTTTGATACCTTTCCAGTTGTCCTCCATAGTAGTTTCTTCTTCGTTCAGTAAGTCCTGTAAGGCTTGGAACCTGTTGTTGAGAGGTATCTTGAATTCGTTGATTTTGTTAGTATCTCGAAGGAAGGCTGTATTGAACCTTTGTAGTACTGTTTGTCCAGTTGTCCAGTTTTTCTTCAGCTTCATTTTTAAATCGGCCACAACTAGGTGGCGATCTGAAGCTATATCAGCTCCTCTCCTGGTTCTCACATCTTCCATTGTCCTTCGGAATTTTTTATTGATGCAAATATGGTCTATCTGGTTCTCTGTAGTGTGGTCGGGTGAGATCCATGTACCTTTGTGTATACGCTTGTGTGGAAATATTGTGCCTCCTATGACTAATTTGTTGAATGCACACAGATTTGCAAATCTTTCTCCATTTTCGTTTCTCTCTCCCAGTTCATGTCGTCCCATGATATCTTCATATCCGGTGTTGTCTATTTCAACTTTGGCATTTAGATCTCCCATCAGAATGGTGAGGTCGTTTCTTTGGCACTTCTCCATGATTAACTGCAGCTGCTCGTAGAATTGATCTTTAATGTCTTCGTTGCTATCATTGGTGGGTGCCTAGGATTGGATAATATTCATTGTGATCCCCTCCTTCTTTGTTTTGAATGATGCTTTGATGATTCCGGATCCATGAGATTCCCATCCCACAAATGCATTTCGTGCTACTTTGGACAGCATTAGAGCAACTCCCTGAGTATGCGGAGCACTTTCCTCTTCGTGACCGAAGTATAGTAGCATCTCTCCCGTGTTTAGCCTTTGTTGTCCAGCTTGGGTCCAATGGGCTTCGCTGATTCCCAGTACTGCCAAGTTGTATCTCCTCATTTCCGTTGCTGTTTGACTGGTCTTCCCGGTCTCCCACATTGTTCGGACGTTCCATGTGCCTATAAAAATTGTTGCTGTGGTTGTCAGAAGGGGCATCAGCCTCGTGGCTTCCGAAGGAACTCGGCTTTCACCATGAAGCGTCATAATTCTTCTAAATGAAGACCTTCTAACTCTCAGGGCAGAGTTAAAATGGTTTGGATTAGTTTTTCTGGTAGGCGTTTTTTAGCGAGTTAGTTTTCGACGGGATGGGGACGCTAACCCCATGCCCAACCCTCCTCCTTTACCCAGGTTCAGGACCTGCAGTAACTCTGGAAGAGCTACAGGCGGAGTTAATTTGTCTATAGATAAAGCATTTTTACCATATAAAATTCCTCTTTGAATGTTTGTTTGGAGACTTGGGTTATATGATCTACATAACGTACAGAATTT